CCCACCTGGAGGCCCAGGCACGTGGGGCGGGCGGGTCGCTGCCCCGCGCCGCACTTGGACAACTCGCAGACCCCCAGGGTGGAAGTGGTTCTGGGGTCCTCTGGACTGCCCCACCGGCTCAGGGGCTTCCAAGGAGGCCCCTCGCGGTGGACGCTGCTCACTTACTTGGCTTCAGCGTACGCTGTCAGATTAAAACGAGGTGTGCTATCGAAACAGCTTTTCTTACAAGTTGAATCACCTCGAAGTGCAATCATAGATGTTTAGAAATGACTTAGTAAGCCGGCAGCTGGCGTGCGTGGTGGTTAAGACGCTGGACTCCTACATGGTTTACTAGTGTTCAAGTCCCGGACCTGGCTTCTCTCTGTATCTGGTCAAAATGAAGAATAATACATAAAATGAAATAAAAAATTATTTAAAAAGTGACTTCGTTTACTCTCATTGACTTTAAAGTTCTATTTCTCTATAGGGATGCATTTCAATGTCTTTCTGTTTGCAGGTTTGTAATGACTAGTTTGCTCTAAAGTTCAATGGTTGAAATTTCTTTGGTGCTTCAGTTGATGACTATTTTACTAAAGGTTTAAGTCTTTTCCGTTCTGTGCTCTGCCCCGTGGCCTGGGGTTATGGAAGGGATCCCACATAGCCCACGCTGGTTTGAACCCTGTCCTGCAGCTTGAAAAACATGCTGGGTGTGTGTACCCCAAATCCCGACAGGATAAATAGATGGAGGAGATGGGATTGCTGCATGACCACACCCCATGGGGGAACTGCTTTCTCCCTTTCCCTCTCTTTTTGTCTCTGGTGAGTGCACGTACCCTCTGGCATATTAAAAAGATAAAGAAGTGATTTGATTGGAACCAGCAGGTGGCGTGTAGGTTGAGGCAGCTGGATCCTACATGGCTGACTTTAGAGTTTGAGTCCTGGACACGGTGACTTGAAAATCAGACTGGGCGTGTGTGCGTGCATGCCCAGAATCCCAAGAAGAAATTGAAGAGATTGTGGTATGGCCACAGTTCCCTCTTGGGGGAACTGGAGGGATGATTTCTCACTTTCTCTCTCGCTCTGTCTCTGGCAAGTGCACATGCCCTATAGCAAGATTAAAAGAAAAAAAAAGTAATTTGATTGTCATTGATGAAGTGGTAAATACACACACTTCCGTTAATTCATTTCCAGACACAGTGTCTTTAAAATAATCCCGAATTTCGATGTTATGCTTCTGTGTCAGACTTGGGTCATCTCTTTTGTAGTTAGTTCTATCTCCTTGGCCCCTACTGTGGAAGGTAAAGTTCAACATCTAGTGGAAGTTTCACTTTCATAATTAACTTTGGGAGAAATGGAAATTCAGAACGGAATTTTTTTTTTTTTTTGAGAGAGATTTTTGCTATAGGGCGCATGTGCTCGCCAGAAAGACAGAGAAAGATAGAGAGACAGCAAGAAATCACCCCCCAGGGGGCTATGCCACAATCCCTTCTCCTCCATTCTCTTCTAGGGATCCTGGGCACACATGCACACGCGCCCAGCATGAGTTTAAGCCACCAGGTCTGGGACTCAAACCGTGATCGACTACATGGGAGTCCTGCGACATAGCCATCATGCCAACTGCTGGTCCCTATAATTTTTAATTAAATGTAGGCTTTTTTTTTTTTATTTATGGTTTTG